GTGTATCACGGCGCTGTGCAAAGCGATGGTCAGTTTGTTGTGATGAGCGACCACCCAAATCCGATTTGGAGCACGAACGGCTACAAGGGCGAAGTGCGAAATGGAGCACTTGGAGCACTTGCAGCACTTGCAGCGCTTGTGCGAAACGTGGTCTACCACTTCTCGCTGTCGAAGACGGGCTCACTGCGTTTGGAGCAGGTCGACAAGACAACGGGCTGGGTGCTGAGTCTGGTCTGGTCGAGCCCTCCAGATCGGGTCTCGAGGCCTGCGGGGACCGGCACTTACCATGCGCGGCTCGAGAGCGACGGGAACCTGGCGGTGTACTGGGCCGATCGGCGGCGGTCCCGTCGGCGCCGCCACCATCAAGGCACGTGCCTCTCGCTCGTGTGGCAGTCGATCCCGAACAAGGTGCATACGAAAGGGTGTATAAGGAAGAACTGCGACCTCAGTCTATCTCGCGAGCACTTCGCGTGCACCTCGTTTCCAGCCGCGGTGCCGGCGCTCTTGCAGGACGCATCAACCTTTACGCTCTTGATCAGCACGCACAGCCGGTTCGAGCTACTCTCCGAGCAGCTGTCGTACTACAGCGCGTCGCCGATGATCTCGACCATAGTCGTCACGTGGCACAACATGAACATTAAGGCACCGCCCGACGCCCGCGTCAATGGGACGTATATTCGGTTCGAAAGCCCAACCACGGACAGCCTCAACAACCGCTTTCAGCCCTTAGCGTACATTACGACCGAGGCCGTCTTCATCCTGGACGACGACATCAAGCTGCACCTGCAGGACATGCACAACATGTTCGCTGCCTGGAAGGAGAACAAGCAGAACCTCGTCGGGGCGTCGCCTCGCTGGGTCGATGGTGGTTCATCGGAGCCCGGGTCTGGCGGGCGTGCTTCCGCGCCGCACAACTTGGCCTACTTAACCCAAAGCGAGGCCTCACCGGACAAGTACGAAGGGTACAGCCTGATGCTGACGAGGACGATGATGATGCATCGTGACTATCTTCACCTCTACACGTGCGGCGGCAGCTCGACAGAGCTCGGCCTGCAAGTAGCGAGCCACTTCGACCAGCTTCGATCGCTCATCTTGTCGATCGTCGCGGCCGAATTCAATTGCGAGGACATCGGCATGAACTTCGTCGTGAACGCGGCGAGGTCCAGCGCCAACCCGCCAGGCGCCGACGCTGCGCCCCTTTTCGTACGGCCGCTGCACAGAATTGGCGACTTCGGAAAGATGGGCGACACGGGTCTGCACCAGAAGAAGTCGCATACAACGGCGCGGACGGACTGCTTGAACCAGATGAACCGAGCCTTTTGGCAGGCGACTGGCCAAAGCTTGCCTGTTCAGACGAGGGTCATTGATGCAATGCCGTCTAGCCTCAACTCGACGTCGACGGCGCTCATGCAGAGGCGGTATTCAGGGCTGAGCGTCCGCCTTCACGACGACTGCATGACGATCGAGCGCGGGGTCGACGGGGTCCACAAACAAGGGGGGTGCTCCTGGGATCTGCCGGCCCAGACGAAGTACAACGCGTATTACGTTCCTTCCGTGCACTGACGGGCGTATGATCTCGAGCGGGGCTGTTGGTGGTGCTCAACAGCACAGAGCTCTTTGGGACCGCGGCTGCATAGCATGCGGGTAGGCTCGGCTTCCTGAGTGAGCGCGGGGCGATGTGCAGGTAAGGTAAGGTAAGGTAAACTTCTCCACACACACACGAGGTGGTGGGGCAGGGGGGGCGACCCTCGCGCACTCTTGTAGCATGCAGGTTGCAGTCTGCATGGATTAGCCTCTGCATAGACGGGCTGATTTTACATTACGTATTTCTCGAAAATGATTTAATCTATAGCCCGGTCGAACACTGCCCAAACAAATAAATTCCCCCTTTGAGCTGAGAGGTTTTGGGATTTCGCTCCGAGCGACGGTCCAACGAGAATCGTCAAAATCAGGCAACAAGAGACCGGTAGCGCCAGCATGTCGGTGCGTCTTT